GATATGGGATGGTTGAGAATTATAAGTGTGGTAGATATGAGCGGGTTGGGAGTATCTGGGTGAAGTAGGTTGATATGTAGGAGGTGGAGATGATTGATAAGTTGGTGGCGGAGCTTGGTACGAGGGTAAGGGTGCTTGGTAATTTGGGGTTGGCTGGTATGTGAGTGGAGGTGTTGGGTAAGTTTAGTATTCGAGGGGAGACTTGGTCGTTTGTGCAACCATCGCGGCCCCCACGTCCCTTTTCTTGGACACACCACCAAACTGTAAAGCCTTATTCGTAGCTTGCAAGGCTTCGAAATTTGTGACCATACCACTTTTAATGCCCTCTTCAATTCTTTCACCTAACTTGATTATGTCGGAGAACTTGTGGTTCTCAATCATCATCAACCGTTCATAGTATTGCGGGTCCTGAGCCCGGACAAAGAACTTGTTCATTTGCTCATCTTCTAAGGCGGGCCTGACTTTAGTAGCTTCGGACCTCCAGCGAGTAGCATACTAGCAAAATGTCTCCGTGGGCTTCTTCTTCAAATTCTGGATATAGAACACGTCTAGTGCATTCTGTGTATTAAATTTGAATATGCGCAGCGATACTACTGGAAAGGACGGTTTCAATATTCCCATACGCAATCCTTTGTATAGACGTTGTGGTGGACAGACACAATAAAGTCGGGTGCCATGCTCACCCAGCTTGACCACTTCTTGGGATCTTGGCTGATGTACCAAGACAATGCATCTCCTTTCAAACTGCTCATGAACAGCTTCATGCGGATCCTTTCATCCTTCCCTACTCCAACCAGCTTGTCGCAATAGGTCCTCAGATGGACCCTTGGATCACTCGTGCCATCAAACATTTCGAACTTAGGAGGTTTGTACCCCTCAGGCAGTTTGACATCAGGCTGTATGCAAAGGTCATCATAGTTCAGCCCCTCGATTCCTTTGCTTCCCTCGACGCCCTGAATCCGGATTGTCAGTTTCTTAAGTTCCTCGACCAAGTTCCTGATAAGCAGATCCTTTTTATCAGACTCAGGTGTGTATGAGATAGGTTGGGTGGAGTATGGCATGGTCTCCACGTAGATGGGATTGTTATGGTGGCTTGGAGTATGGGTGTGGAAATGGTCGTTTGTGGAGTTTTGAGGTTCTGGGATGAGTAGCGGGGCGTTGTTTGGGGTATGGCAAGTGTCACATTGGTTCTTTGGTGGAGCAGCGTGATGGTGAGGTGCGGGATGATTCTGCTATTTTGGGATATTTTGAGGAGGTGTAGGGTTTTGAGCGTTGGGGAAGTTGATGTTTGGGGTGTTGAGGGAAAATGACAGGTTTGCTAGATTTCGAACCTGATCGAGCTCTTCTTGGAATTTCAACAGTTTCTGTTCAAGCTGTGACACTTTCTCATTAGGAACCCGAATACCCTGGCCATCTACCCATTCAGTTGTGTTCTCCTTCCCGATATTGTTTAAATCTTCCATTTTATTCTTGCCTTTGTAAGCCTTTAGAGGGACTAAGAGGATGGGTGGAGAGCCCCTGGATCTTGTGAAATAAGATGATGATGCCAGAGTGCACGAACTAACCTTTGGAGAAGGGAATAAAAAAGAAAGAAAAAAAATTAAAACAAAAGGTAATCAAGTCAGCGAGAATTATAAAAAGTATTGCAATATTTAAACACATAGTGCCGGAATATAAATTCGCGTCCTAATTTGGGAGCCTCGTTGTGCCCGAGGTAGGCCTAGCGACAAATAGACTTGGAGAACTTTTAATGCCAATAAATTCTTCATTTCATAATGTAAGAACAGACAAATCCCAAAACGATACTGAAATAATGATAAAAAATGAGTTACTATTGGCACTTGGCCTTATTACATCTTAAGAAAAAGCAAAAATAAATCTAGCCTATTTGGTCCCAGAAGGACCTTCCTCAGGTTGAATGTTCTCATTAATCAAATCCTCCAGCTCGCATAGGCTCATTAGTAAGAAAGCCTTCGCCAGATGTCCTTCTTCGTTTCCCTCACCGCTCCAGTCGTTGACTCTTTTCCTCACTTTTCCTTCTAATTCTAACACGCTGTATTCCAGATAATCTAGCTTTTCGCTAGTCTTGACAGCCCATTCTTTCCATTCATTGGTTTGGTCATCCGATGGAAGATACCTCCACCAGTCTAGCAAGAGTGGTGGTATGTTAACCATTCCGAAGCTGGGGACCTCGTGCCTCATTTTCTGCAAAACAAAAGGATTATACCTTACCCCCACCAGACTCGACTATTTATACATTTATGATCAACATATCGGCATTTAGTTCTCCAAATAAATGCACGGAAGGTGATGATGTCCGTTTGGGTTTAGGGAAACCCAGTGGACTTTTGGACAAGGCTATCTTAAAGTATCATTATGTGGACAACATAACTGATCCGGCTAGGTTTGACCATGATGCATGCACAATTTAAACAGAGTAAGGTTTCTATGGGGGTTTTAGACTGGTACCCTTGAGCGAACAACTCAAGGGGGAAGGCACGGAACCGTCAACTGCACCGCTGATCGACTAGTTTTACCGCAAATAAGCCTTTCCGAATTTAGGGGGTAATGATACAGGAAGGGCGCAACCACTCATCAACCGTTGCTATAGTATTTTGTTTGGCACGAGTGGAGTATGATGTTGAGCATGAATATGCAACAATTAAAAGCATGTTGTCATGTATTTGCACGTTAAGAAAGCGATAAATACAACAGTTTTATAATTTAAAACGGTTATAAAAGAAGGAAACAAGAAAGATACGTCAGTTCGCTTTTGAAGAAGAAATTAAATGCTTAAAGGAATTAAACAAATAATTTCACATAGGAGTACAAATTCACAAAAACGGTCTAAAATGGTAAAAGCCTAAAAATCCCCAGCAGAGTCGCCATGCTGTCGCGCCCCCTTTTTCTCGCGAAATCGGGTTTATGACATTTTGGTTGAGACAACTCGTTCCTTTTGGGAAAGGGGTTTGCATTTTTGAAGAGTCGCCACCTATTTAGGGTGTGTTAGGGTACCTAGAGGGTTCATTTACAACTACGTTTGGTAACCAGAGATAGGGTAAGGGCTTGAAATTATCCTAAGAGAAAGGTATTAGGCACCCCTCAGGATCCACTAGTGTGGTTCCCGGCCAAACAATTTTTGTGGATTTGTACAATTAGAAAATAAGCAAGTATGGCTCTAATAGTAGGGGATTTAAGTTTAAGTACACAGATGTTTGAAAAAAAAAACAGTTAATGAAAAGCTAGATTTTGAAAAGGAGTACAATCTACGCATATTTGCGAATGTAAAGGGGTGTCATAGGTTGGTTAGCCTATAGGATCACATCAGTGCAATGCCCGGTAACCACTCCTTAGAAAGGGGCTACGCGTGGCATTAGCGAACCGGCCATCATATCTATGTCTACCCTTTCCGTCCCCTTATTGGTCATGCAAAGCGAGTGTTGGTCACGGGTTCCTATCGCGTGCTGCTACCCGTCCCTTCTTAATGGTCCAGGAGGGAGTTAGGACCTCTACCTATAGGTGGTTCTAGACGTACACCTAAGGTTTTTAAAGGTGAAAAATCTAAGGCGACAAGCAAAACAATTAGGACTTTGCGATAACAAGAACATGAAGGAGTAGATTAAGGCTCAATTTTCCTCCTCAAGTAAACATACAAGCGGCACGACTCAAACACAATTAAGGTCTTTATTAGATAATGTCCTAAAGCAGGATATCTAGGCGAATATGCAGACAGACAACCTCTTTAGACTCAGAAGTTATAACCCTAGCGGTTGCCCATGGATTTTTTTAAAAAACCTTGTTAGGATTAGAAAACATAAGCAATAGAGACAGTTTCAGATAGGGGTGTTCGTGGTTCGGTTTGGATCGATTTTTTCCTAAAAAGAAACCATACCAAGTAAGTCGGCTTTTCAAATATTAGAACCAAACCAAACCAATTGAGTCGGTTTTTTCTCGATTCGGTTTATGTCAGTTTTTTGGTTTTTTCGGTTATTTGTCGATTTTTTCTTAAATATACGACATACACTACCAAACACATATTTCGGCGACCACATTTTCAACGTAACACTATCAAATAAATTGCCCTTTGAGAAATCTATTATTTACTAAAATATATTGATGATAATTGAATCAAATAGTAATGAATTATTTAAGGACTCAATTAAAAATATATTTTTTTTAACATGAAATGGAATCTTACACTTAACAAAAGAAAACTACCAATCGAACTAGAATATAAAAGTAAAGAACTGTACTAAAAGTGCAAACGATTAACATTCACTATTAAAATTTTGAAACTTTGTATACACATATACCTACTCCTATAGTCGGTTTGGTTCGATTTTTTTCGGTTATTTTTTGATTAAAACCAAAACCAAACCAAATTTGGTCGGTTTTTAAAATTCAAAATCAAAACGAAACCAAACCAAAAAGTATCGATTTTTCTGCTCGGTTTGGTTTGGTTTTCGATTTGGTTCGATTTTTCGGATTTTTATGAACACCCCTAGTTTCAGATATGCAATTTTGAAAATGCCCTAAAGGCTTGCCTATACGCGGAGTACTGATGCAAAAAAACAAAGTAAGTTTTGAAATGGACTCCTTTAGTACCTATAGGCATGATATCTAATGAGATTGAGGCAGTTTGAAAGAACTTGTTTCAAGAAATACTTAATAATTAATGTAACCAATTGTGAGCACGTGATTTTTGCCTCGCTCAAATATTCCTATAGAATTCTTAAAATTAGGATTTCCCTTTTATTATTTGATTTTTAGGATTTAATTGCGTAATTTTGTGTGTATTTTTATTCGTGTGTGCATGATAATTCATAAAAAATACAAAAATATTGCATGAGCATTTAGGATTTAATTTTACATATTTTTAGACTAATTAGTAATTAGGCTTGTACAAAAAATACAAAAAAATCATAAAGAAGTTTTGATTTGTTTTGTTTGGCTTTAATTTTAGTTTTAGCTCTATTACTTTCGTTTAAATTGGTATTGGTTTAATTGTAGCTTAATTAAGTAGGTTGAATTAATTTTTAGGTTTAATGTTAGTTTGGTTTTAAAGAGGAAAACAAATAAAAGAAAAAAATTAATTGAAATAGAAATTAAAAAGAAACAAGGGAAGAGTAAATCAGGCCATCAGTTTTGGGCCAAAATCGAGCCCAAAACCCCCTCAAACCCACTTCAAACCAGTCTCATCCCAATAGTCCACAATCCGGTCCAGCTATTCAGAGACAAAACGACGTCGTTTTGGCTCTGTTAGATCTGAGCCGTCTAGGTTATTTGATCCTACGGCTCGAAACTAGTTTAGTGTTGATATATTAATGTCCAAACGCATACCCCCCCCCCTTCTTTCCGTCTCTGACTAACCCCTAACACAAACCCTAGCCGCCCTCAAATCACCACTGCTTCTCCGTCGTCTCCCACCTTCCGCCGCCGGCCGGAAATCGCCTCCGCCGGCGGCGATTCTCCAAATGACCCCAAATTCACACTCCACGTTCCTCTCCTCCTCCCTGTTCCATATCTGCTTCCAGTTTCTTTCAAACATCGCCCAAACGTCTCAAATCTTTAAAACCCTAGGCGCCGCCTCCGCCGTGCACGGCGGCGCCGCCTCCAAATCTTACCAAATTAACACCAGTGCCCCTCCTCACCTCCCTTGTTACGAGTCCATAACCTATAGCCTTCAAATATTCCCCAAGCACCTCGAATATTAGATCGAAACTTGGCCTGAAACCCCAAATTCTCAGGAGTTGGGGGTTTACTGATTTTGGGCTATAATAGCCCTTAATCATGTGTCTTCTCATGAAAACACATGGTTAAGGACAATTATAATCCCAAATCACTCCAGGAAGTTAGCCTTAATGCGAGTCTGATTCGAGAATTGGAGGTATTTTATTTCTTCTTTTACTTTCTGTTTTCTTCTCGCTCATGATTCTGACTCATGTTCTTCTATGTTTGTTTCTTTTACTATTTTTAGTTTTAGTTTGATTCTGACTCATGTTCTTCGAGTATATTTGGGTTATGTCAAGCTGATTTTGGGATATTCTCATTGGTGTTTTTCCCTCTGGTGTTCATTTTGGGTTTTACTGGGTCCTGTTTTGAGTTGGAAATTGACTCATTTGTCCTGATTTCAACTGTTGTCGGTCTATTGCTATTGCTGACTCCTTTCCTTTACTTTGTTCAATTCCAGGTACACTTGTTGTCCCTAATGATATGAAGTTTTCACTCATTGTACATGAACAATCGTGAAATCAATATGATGAAGCATTCCTACAATACGAATCTGCCTTTGTTTTCATTACTAGTTTAATATGTAGCTATAGATTCATTCGAACAGATATATATTAATGTTAAATAGGACTATTTGTATTAATTAGGACTGCACAAACTCATTTTGTAATTATACTGGACTGTATGAACTGCCGTCCCTTAGGTTTGTTTGAGCCTTTTGAGTTGAGAAGCAATTTCATGTTAGATGGATAGAATAGTTCATATTAGTTTAGTTAATTTCTGTTAGTTACTCCATATATCTTTTAGTTAGCTCATGTTAATTACTCCATAGAATCTCTAGTAGTTATTTCCATTTTTAATCTGTGGTATGACTGTTTTAGGAGCTGTCTAGGACTGTGTTGGACTTCAATAAAAGAAAATACTGTGCTCAATGATAGTATCTTGTAGATTTGTTTAAGTTTTCATGTTTAATTTGCTTCCAATAGGTAATGTAGTGTGAGTATTTTGTAGTTTCATTTTCAAAAATAAGGAGAATAACTAGAGCAGGCAGCCGACTTTGAAATCATAATCTTCAATTGGAAATTCAATTTGGTTGGAATTTGATTCCACTGTTAATTCAATTTGAGAATTTTGAAAATCCTATTGTTAAATGCCTGGGCTGTGAAATTGAGCCCATTGTCTGCTTAATTGCTCAAACAGCCAATCTGATTATTGGGCTATGAAAAGTTCACAACTGGACCTCACTGAAGCCTAGTGACCGGCCAGCTTCTTGTTACAGGTTTAGGCCAAATTTTCAAGGCCTCAAAATGCTAGAAGCCAAAGTCCTTTAAAATTATATTAGGGATATGGGATTAATTTGCAATATAAATTTAGGATTCGAATTAGGTAGCGGGTTCAAATTAAGAGGGTCCTCCCTTTTGTTTGAATTCGGACTTGAACTCGAGACCCGAATTTATAAACGCGAATTAATTGGGCCCTTTTAGAGGCAAAAATAATTAGAAAATCGTAGTTTTCTTAGGTTGGCCTTTAAATAATAAAGTGATATGAGCATCGCCAAATAAAAAGGCATAAATTGCGGGGCCCTCATTAAATACTTATATTAAAATACTTAGAATTCAGGGCTGGCCGTTTAGTGAATTTCACGGCCTCCCGCAAAGATAATAACACGTTAGTCGCTTTAGGAGCGTCTTTAATAATTTTACCTTCCTAAACTCGGGTGTGCATTTCATGTGACCCAAATTCAAATCCCAAAAAGTTGAATAAAATGTGTCGAGGATCCGGGTGCATTTCATGTGACGTGATCCAAAAACATGTTTTAAACGACGTTCAATTTCCTAAAAATTTAAGTAAAAGCGGTAAATAATTCTAAAATTGCACTATAGGACGACATGTATAAAAATCAGATTTCAGCCGTTTATAATAATTTTAGCGACCGTGCTAGAACCACGGTATCCGGGGGTGCCTAACACCTTCCCTCGGGTCAACAGAATTCCTTATTCAGAATTTCTGGTTCGCAGACTCCGAATGGGAAGTCGATAATTTTCCTCGATTTGGGATTTAAGCTAAACCGGTGACTTGGGACACCAAAATCCAATCCTTTCCCAAGTGGCGACTCTAAAAAATAAATAAATAATCCCATTTAGAATAATGTCACTTTAAATGGAAAAACTCCCTTATACATTATCCTTCGGGATAGGTGTGTAAAAAGGAGGTATGACAGCTCTAGCGACTCTGCTGGGGATGCGAACCCAGAATTTCGATTCAAGGTTCAAGAATTCGAGCTTAGCATAATTGTTATATTTGGCTTTATCTGATTTTTCTACATGTTCCATGCTATATGTGCTAAATGTTTTACCGCTTTATTATTTGTTGAATTATAAATAAACTGTTACAAATCTTTTCCTCTTTCTGAGCCTTCTACATCATGGAGAAGGGTGCACTTCCTGTAGCTTCTCTTCTGTTTAGAGTCTTTACCTATTTAGAACGAGGTTTGGATAAATTGCTAAGCCGACGGAGCTTCTGTATCCCCGGTACGCTGCCTCCCCCTCGGCTCGAGTTGTCCGCTCGGGTAAATCAGGTCTAGACCAATAAACCTAGGGTTAAACCTAGAAGAACAAAACCTCATGCCGGATCCCTAGTAGGACGTTTGTTTGCATCATGTGCATTTGACTTAGGGACTCAACACAGGGATTGGGTCCGTGTAGGACAGGTGACCTGAAATGAATTGACCATCCCGATGCATCTTATGTACTACTTGCGCATTTATTTGCTAAGCTTTGCATGTTGACCGATTTGTCTAAATGAGTGAAAATTGAGAAAATAAGCAGTGTTAGGACTAAGTGAGGGCGACCATTTGTTTTGAAAAAACCCAATGCCCAAATAGTACCGAAATGCTGCCGGATTTTTGAAAAATGAAAAAACAAGAAAAGAAAAAATATTTGAAACATAGAAAGAAAATTGTTATTCAAAATAATTTTGATTTTGGCAATGTGTCTGAACTACGTGGTTTGATTCTCACCGGAAGTGAGATACGTAGGCAACCCTCATCGGGTCCAACCACCCTTTTGCAAAAAATAGCCCAAAAAAATGTCAAAAATTTTAATTTTTGTCAAAAATTTTAATTTTTGTCAAAAAATAAGTCGGGTGATGCCATTCTTGTTTTAAAATAAGCCGAATGTCCCCAAAAGGACGCCGAAAGGCTGTTTTTGCAAGAACAGCCACCCTAAGTCATTTTAAATGGTTTGCGGACACAGCCTTAAAATCTTCCTCCCAAAAGTGCTGAAAGGCCGTATTTGCAAACCCAAGTCCTTGTTTTCTAAATAAAGAAATTTTTGCAAAAATAGCCATTTTCCTTTGTTAGGTCAAAATAAGTCATTAAACCCTTTTAAATAAATGTGCAGGATGAATCCAAGTAACATTGAAACTTTCTCAGTCCCGAGTGAGATCCCTTTAAAGCTCCATATGTGGTGAAATGATTTAGGGAAAGGTAGCAGAGAAACCGTGATCAAGGTTTTGGGTGGTCTCGTCGATTTGTTGAACATCAAACCAAGAAAGGATATTATAGAGGCATTGATACCATTCTGGGACCCAACTCGTAACGTATTCCGATTCTCAGATTTCGAGATTACGCCCACACTAGAGGAGATTGTGGGATATGCGGGTCTCAACGAAAACCTCAGGAGTAGATACCCATTGGCCCCGAGACCGGTAACCTTTCACAGATACTTGGACCTGTTAAGCATCAGTCGGGACATTCAAGATCCGCATCTAGCAGAAGGGTGTTGCACACTGCATTTCTTGTATCACCGATATGGCAACCCGAAAGGTTTTGAAGAACCCAGCACCGGTTTGACACATGCCGGGAACAAAGATAAATGGAAAGTCCCACGGGGATTAGCATTCATGGTAGCTTTTCTGGGGGTTATGGTTTGTCCAAGAAAAGACGGTCACATAGACCTCGGCCTTGTAGGAATGTTGGATGTGGCCATAAAGAAGCCTACTAGCACAGTGGTTCCCTTGATTGTGGCGAAAATATACCGAGCTTTGACCATGTGCCGAGAAGGTGTGAAATTCTTTCAGGGTTGAAATCTACTACTACCACTACAACAAAAATGGACTTTAGCGGCAATACAAAATGGCTTTAGCGGCAATAACAATAGCCGCTATATCGTTTACCAGCCATTATTGTTTAGCCGCTGAAGCCAGGGTCGACAAAGCCTTTAGCGGCTTTTCTAACAAAAGCTGGTAACGAAACCACATCTCTTGTCTTCAAGAACTAACAACATATTTAGAACAGAATCCAAGTCACAAATATATGTGGAAAAAAATTAACATAGTCAAATCAATGGAGCATTAACACGAAGAGATATCAAAAGCTAACAAAGTGAATAGTTCATATCCACCTAAATCGACAATTCAAATAGAATTACTTTACACTTAAATTAACAAAATTTTAACTATAGTCTGCTATAAATAGCTTATAACAATCGAAAGTAAACATATAACATTAGGAAAACTAGAGGAATCAATTCGATCAGTTGCCCGCCAATTTAACAACATCCAAAAATCACAAATAACAATATAGCAAACACAAAAAAAAAAATTATCTCTGCAAATCACAAACTGACATAGTTGGACATCACAAATCACAAATCGACTTAGGCTCAAGTATTTGGGTACCTGGTATAGCGGGCTTCTACAAATCACAAATCCATATCTGCATCATTGCATAGAGGGCATTACTGACTGAGTTCATACCCCAAGCTACCAGTCTAACCTATCCAGTAGTTCTCACATATTTGGAGGTATGTGAATCCCTGTATCACCTGTTGATTAACAAAGTGACAAAGGGGATTTATTCATGTATCTGGAATCAGGATAACAATGTTGGATTTTGCTGACCTATGAAAGTATAATACAATTTTTATTATTGGTTTGCTAGTTAGTAGTCCTCCCAATTAGATGAATTAATCGGATCTTTTTAATGGAAAACTAATAATAGATACTCTATTGTTAGTTACTTCCAACCAATCCAAATATATGCAGACAGAAGCAACTCCTAAAGCCACTACAGACAGTTCACTTCCTACTCCAAAAACTTCTGATGTAGGATTGTTTAATTTCAAACTTATTTGACAGCAGAGAATACATAATCTTCTCAAGCACTTAAAAGGTTTAAATTACACTGAATTGCTAACTAAAAAAGTACTCACTGACATTTGCTTTATCGGAAAGCCAATAGGAGATAAGACCAGTCCATTGATCCTTTGGTATGTGGCTTGGTCTATTTTTCATCAAGGCATCTTTGGTCTTATATTTGGTCACATAACATAGTCTTCAGATCACATTTATAGTCCTTCCATTTCTTCCCTATTGATTTTTTTATAAACTCTTCTCCACGTATTGGGATTGAGAATTTCTTCCGAAAAGATAGAGCGAGCTTGTACAAAATAATATCAAAGCTGCAAACAACACATATATCCCATATTTAAGGTGAAAGAGTGACACCAGAAGCACTATGCAATGAGGGTTGTGAAGATCATGTTGACACACACCACCATGCTTTGTCCTGCTAATCTTGTTACTAGAACAAATTTTTCACTTGGCACTAGCCAACCTAGAGGACCCTAATTCAAGGATACAAAATTCAAGTCCCAGAAAAAAAAAGAACAGAACATGATTCATTGTACTGCTCAGCAGCAATGCCAACAGAATTGTTCAAATTGCTAGATTGTTCATCATATGTTTGGGCTTGAGAGCAATTTTGAGCATTCATTACTTGCTCAATATAGGGCCGCGCCACTTCATCATGAAGTGGTCCAGTAACCAATCTACTACCAACTCTAGTTCTCATATTTCATCTCCAAACTTAAGTACTAATTTATTTTCAAGAACCTGTAGAAGTCATAAAGAAAATGTCTTTGAGAATTTTCTTTCAGCCAAGTGTCAAAATCAATACCTGTAAGCTACTATCCGAAGTTGCCTGAACTGCCAAATGTATGCACCTTCTACTCTGATTTAAGCACCCCCTGTTGTTGGCAACATTAATTGTTTAATGATAATATCATTTGAATAAGTGATCACACAATAAGTGATCCTCAGTAGTTAAAGTGATAAACCTAAATTTGTTGTTGATGAAAACAATATCTTGTTGGAAAACAAAGTTAAGAACGTAATACAACAAACAAAATTATAGGGGTAATAGGTAGGTCTCATGTTAATTCTACTTCCATAGTGATTTGTTCAATTCAGCTATTGAGGTTGTCATGTTCCCGTGCATCTTCAAGGCATTCAAATCTTTCATATGCTCTATTTCCCTGACTATACTATTAAAGGTATCACTACTCCTTACCATTACAACCTTCTAATTATGTTTGCTTATCTAGGTGTTAGCTCAAACATTCTTTTTGCCCTGCACAAATTCATTTAAAACTCTTTGCTGCCTAGTTAGCGCATGCCTACTCCTTTGTTGGGTTAACTTTGTCTTCTTTGACATGTTATCTTCTTCAAGAATTAAATGTTTTGAAACTTTTGCTTTGCATGCGAGAACAAGAATCCTCGATTCAAGTAATTTAATTCGATTCTAACATCAACTAATGAGGTCCTTCAATCCAACAAACTAGTCTCTCATTAAAAACACTTGGACATAACACAAGTTCTAAAAGGCTCATCAAATGAAACAGAATACATCACAAAACATAGCAACATGGCATAAGCACATTAGACTATTCCTTATGGGGCTAATTTCATTTACAAAACAAGTTGTAACATAACAAAATAATCAAATCATTGTTTTTTTCAAATCAGATTCATAAGTTTCCAATTTTAATAATAAAATGGGTATATAGAGAAGTACAAAAATTCACATGATATTCACATTCTTACCACAAAACTTTATTGTCCGAGCCCGACTACTGCTGGTGAATAGTGAAGGGAATGTTCTGTGTGAATCTGCGAAGGAAAATTTCTAACCCTAACCATAAGAAATTTCAGACAGTATGGAGAAGAGAGCAGAGATTTCATATTGTAAAAAAAAGTTCAAAATTGAGCCAAACTTACAGAAGCTATGGAGATTACCGAGAGTTGAAATACAAAGCCTAGAACAACTTCGGATTGTAGAGTAAAAACACCAAATCTAATACAAAAATCGAAATTAAAACAACGAGCAAAGACATTATATACACTAACAGTATAAAGTATAAACATATATAAGATCGAGATCTGATTGATATTACACTAAACTCAACTAAAATGCTAGCTGAATCGTAAGTACAGTTTTAGGAAAACCGAGAAGTAGATCAAAGAATAACTAAGTTGAATTGAAGAGACACTCACCGATCAGAGGAAGAGAAATGGAGAGAGAGAGACACTGAGAGAGAGATCGTAGGCTTCAGATTTGAATTAGGGGAATTTAGAGACTAAAAATAATTGGAGGGAAGCTAAAGAGAATTGGAGGGCACATTAAAAATAATTGGAGGGAAGCTAAAGCGAATTGGAGGGCACACAACTTGAATTGAAAAGTCTAGTTTTTCTCTTTCTGGACTATATTTTGTTGTCACTAAAAAGTACTTCTTTTACCGACTAAAGTTTAAATGCCGGCAATTAGTGACTCTAGAATATAAATCGGCAGCAATTAAGCTATTGCCGCTAATTAATTGCCACTAAATGTCTAATTTGTTGTAGTGTACAGCTGTGGATACAGGAGAACCTTTGTCATCGCACGGGGTACATGAACTATGGTTTAACCGGATTAAGTTGTGTTGCGGAATTCGGAACCAGGGTAACAGGCATTGAGTTCCCCGAGGGCACTGAGGCTTGGTCGTCATGCTTGAGATCTTTGACTGCGGATAAAGTTGAATGGGCTTTTGGATGGCTTCCCGCTACTGAGATTGTGTACACATCGGCAAAAGTACCTTATATTCTTTTGATGGGCGTTCGAAGCATCCAACCTTATGCTCCCTACCGAGTCCTGAGGCAGCTAGGAAGATTCCAAACTATTCACAATGCTGAGGACCTGAGCGGACAAATCATTGAGTTAGGCCCGAAAGCTGCATTCCCGGAAGGAAAGATCCGACAAATATGGAATGAGTGCAGGTACCTTGAGCCTAAGACTATAGTACAGGATCGAGCCAGAGGCGAGGTAGATCCCAAATACTTGGTCTGGTTTGGTAAAAGATTTCAAATTCCTAAGAGACCTACCAAAAGGCCACATGTACAACAATTCACTGACGAGGCCCAGGTGTAATGGGATTGGTTAGCCAAAGAAAAGGAGTACAGGGCCTGAATAGGAGCATTGGAAAAACAGGTTCAGGATCTCCGGTTTGAAAACAGCTTGCAAGCCGCAGCCGATGAAGGTGACAAAAAGAAACTGACTCAAGAGAATGAAGCTCTCAAGGCTCAAATCCAACAAATGAAAATAGCTGCTAAAAATCAAGAAAGAAGTCGGTCCGATGAGAGGTTGATAAAAGGGCTGAAGAAGCAAGTCTTAGAATGTCAGGAAGAATTGGAGAAATCCAAGGGGAACATGGCAAGACTTCGAGCACAATGGGCAAAGAAGACTGAGGAAAGAGCCCAGTTTTGTACAACAAATGAAGAGAAACTACGAGGGAACCATTGCTAACATGAAAAGAAAAATGAATACTCTTGAAGAAAAGGCAGCTCGGCGGGACAAAGAATTTCAGGCCGAGAGGGAACAATGCTATGGGTTAATCGCCGAGATGGAAAAGGAAATAAAATTGTTACAAGACCTTCACTTCCAGGATTCTCAGGTGCTAGAGGCTCGTACCCAACAGATAAGTCGACTACTCCAAGAAAAGGGCCAAATCAGGGAAAGAATCAGAAGCATTGCAAACTATATTGTTATGAAGTGTCAGGCCGGTGAACGGATGGGTTGTACCACTTTCTTTGCTTCAGTGATGATATTTGTTCGACAGGTCATGAATAATTTGGAGCAGCTACAAAGGGGTCTTGCACGCAGGCCCGCGGCGATGCCGAATGACGCCCCGCGGGCCCCAGAATTTGAAGCTTTGATGTATTCCTAGTTAATCAAGTCTGTATTTTTGTTTTTGAGTCCGTTTTTGTAATTTCCTTTTTTTTCAAGAAAAAGAAAAAAAATAGTCTAGTAGCTTTTGTAATCGCAGTTGTTATTAATGAAAATTGAAAATTCCCGAAAAATTGTTTCCTTATTTTTGCATTTATTTGCAAGAACTACGCCTGGTCTGATTCATGCGGGGCCATGATACGTAGGCAATCTACATAAGATTCGACCGTAACCCTAAAAAAAAGAAAAAAAATACGAGGGAAGGAAATAAAAGAAAAACAAGAGAGAGAAAGAAACGCAGAAAGAGAAAATAAGGAATTGAGAGAAAGACCATGGCAAAAGAAAAAGGAAAAGCAGAAAATGAAAAACAAAGGGAAAAGAAAAATGAGAGAAAAACAAAAAAGAGAAAGAAAAGCCGGGATGACGCATGCAACCAGTGCAAACATGTAGACATCCGTTTAACTGTATAGGTGCATCACACCCCAATGTGCGATTGCCTATCT